AAACTCTAACTCTGTAACCATTTAACAATAATTCTCCATTCTCCCCTCCTCCCACACCTAGCAATCATCAATATTTTCTTATGTAAGACTTCTTCTTGATTAAGCAAGGAAGGGTTACTTTGGTTTTAGATTTCATTGCTAATTTCACTAAACATGGGAGTCAATAAAAAGTACAAAGTCATGAAAGATGCTTTAAAGGTTCTGAGAATAAGGTGCTATATGCTAAGAAAATACCAAGGGCACTTAAAAATTGTAAAAGTAGCTAATAACATCAGTAACCATCATAGTACTATGTAGGATTTTCTTTTAGTAGATAAAATACATACACTTTGCAAGAGTCTTCATTGTAACAGCTAGCTAGTTTTTAATTTTACGTTTAATGATAAAATAACCACCTTTGATTTTTTCCTCAGACTAACTGGCGTATAGGAACTTTTCAATTTAATAAAAACTGAAGACATGTTATTGATATATTACAATATAGCCCTCTTTTTAGCCCTCTTCTTCAACATAATTCTGCAATTAACAAGCCTACAATTTTAACATTACAAAAGTAACTTATAGCAAGGACCCTTATAGTGATAAGTAATAAATCTAATTACCATATTCTTTGAATAGATGTAATATAAATTTCATTGCTCACTTAAAAGTTCTAAAGTTAACAGCATAAACTTGAAGTTGAGTAATTAAGTAATCCTTATATAGACACTTATTAAAGTATTTATACATATTATCTTAAATCTACATCTATCATTTTGCCAATTAAAATTAGGACTTTAATTGCAATTAAGTAATTTAATTGCCAATTGAACAGCAAAATTGCTAAGTGACTAATTTTAATGCCTATTTTAATTACCAATCATGACTGGGGAGGGAGCTAATCAAGTTACATCAAGCAGTACCAGAGTAATGATGTGAAGAAAAAAAAAAAAGGCAGAACAAACATTCAAGGCTACATGCTTTAAAAAAAGAAACATAAATAAATGCAAACACAATCTTATAAATGTATTAAAATACTGTATTTCAGTATATGAATACAGAACATGAAATAGAACAAGAGTAACTAAAGAAGCCTCTGTCAATCTTCAAAGTAAGGAAAACCAAATCAAATTTTTATGTATTTACAGGGCTCTCACACTAACCCAGATAAAAACAAAGCTGCATATAGTTGAGAATAAAAGACTGTTTCCTGCTTGGCTGGTTAATTATTTACAGATTGGCAGTTTTAAAAAAAATAAATATTTTTAATGAAAGGTTATAAAAGAGAAACAAGTTTCCAACGTAGCAATATGGGTTCTTAAATTTGAAAAGCAAACAGGGCCAGTGCAGAGGGCCTGTATACTCTTTCCTACGGCTCTCCTCCCCACCCCCACTCACTCAAATGAAGTATTCTAATAGAGGCCTAATGCCTATCCATAACTTGTCCTGTATTACCTTAAGAAAGGCGTAAATCTGTCCTATCTTAAATAATTTAAAATACACTCATAAGTAAAGAATAATAAGAAAGCACCGAGGATTACATCACAATTAAAATTACTCAGAGCATGGGGAATATACCTTGTCCTGATAGTATTTCTTCACTTTCAATTAAAATATACTTGCCAGCTCAAAATAAACCAGCAGGCAACCAGAAATACTGATGAAAATCTTGGCCAATACAAACACATTTTCAAAAGTTTTCACATTCAAACAAATTCTCAGATTAGCAGTATGCAAGGGCCATATTGAAAGAGGGAGGTGAAGTTGGGAGCTTAAAAATTAGAAAGTGATTCCCTGATAGACAATAACAATGCCAGTACTTTCAAGCTAGAGGGATCGCCTTGGCAGCCAGCCACCTCATCTAGAGTAACAATGGACATTCATCAAATCTTCACTTCAAATAAGTCATGATGCAAGATGCATATCTTGTTTTTGTTACTATATATGTATACCAAATACACACATAGTTTTTGTCCACAAATGGGCCTGAAATTATGAACGACATATGTAATATTTTAACTTGAGAAGAGGCAAATATTGCTGCTTAGGATTTTATGTACTAATGGACTTGAATTGTGCAATAAAGCACAGCAGGACTTTCAGCCTGGCTTTTGAAGAACGAACACGTTAATAATCACGGGGCTTGACAAAAGCCTGCAGTATCTGCTCATGACAATAACAGCTTTATAAGGCGAGTTCTGTGTGACTGATTAAAGGACACACTCACAACCTATTCAGAAGTCATGGAGATGTAGTCATGATTAACAGCCTCACTACAGATCAAGGTTAAAACTCACTGAATGCTGATGCTACAGAGAAATGCAATTTCAGCCATTAAAAGATTACCCAAAACAGTTTCCAGTAAGGGTTGTCATAACTCAAATATATCTTATTTTGTTCTGTATAAACTTTCCTATTTACATACATGAAAGATATTATTTCATAATTATCAAAATCATTGCCCAAACTCAAGCACTAGGTAACAAATCATCACCTATTACAAAAAGAAAAAAGGAGATGTTATCTTGTAATTTAAAAATGAATTATGACACTTGTATGACTGAAAATGTTTTCAGACTATGTCTATTTTGTGTATTACCCTAGTTTATCAGTTCACATGAATTAATGTGGTTTACGTATTGTTGGAAGCAAAATCTTTTAAAAGATAGTACGCCCACAGCTTTCATATATCCCTTAGTAGGAAAAAGTTTTTTAAAAGTTGTAGTATTTTACTTTTTTTACCCTTAAGTTTCTTGTCTTGAAGTGTTGCCTCTCTGTATTAGTGAAGGAAAAAGGAGGGATACCGCAAAAGACAACCATGTTTATAATCTGAAATTAGAGCCAGTCAATAAACATTTTATTAATCACCAGGATATTTTTTAAAAGACCTGGTAAATATTACAGAATCATTCTACTAAGATCTAACAGTGACTTCAGTATGCTGTCACTGACATGTTCGGAAGAAAAAAAAACTAACCACCAGTACCACCACATACAGAATTCAAGTTCAGGTACCCGCATAGTTGAGGGTGTGGGCTGCCGGGGAGGGAAGAGAAAGTAGTTTGCTAAGAAGGTCCTTATATTTCATATTTCCGAGTACATTTTTGTAAGTTACTTTCCTAAAAATTAAGTATTAAAAAAACAATTTCAAAGAGTTATTAAATGGGTTTAGGAGTTATATTGAAACGATTCACAAAATAGATTTTTCTTGGGAATACATTAATTTGGGGAGTTCCGAAAGTATGGTGTTCCTAATGATTGCTCTTAAGTAACTAGCTCTGGAAATCGTATTTTCTATTTCTCCATACTCTTCAATTAGTATTTGGTCAGCTGATTGGCAATTACCAAGACAACAGTTTCGCTAAACTTTATAAGCCAGAGGTGGGGGGGGGGGGGGTGAGGACAATACAGTAAGGGATTTTTCAGCCAGAATGGTTTGACAGAGCCCCTCACACTACAAATAGATGTTATAAAATTTGAAATGTAGCTCTGAAGTTCAATTCATACCACAGAAACTGTGGGATGCTATCTTCCTGTTGTTATAACGTATCAGGTCAAGGGATATAAATTGTACCAGGTGATTCATTTTGCCGTTCAGAGAGTAAGTTCCTCCCAGAATATATGTGATTGATATCCCTGGAGGTGAAAGGCTAACGGAGCCATATGGCAACATGTTGCATTCCGTATGCTATCTGCCCATCCGTGCTTAAGCTGCCATTAGCAACATCTGTACCTAACGGAAATCCAGCTGCGCCGACGCCGGCTGACGGAATTGTACTTGGGGGGAAATCTAGCTTAGCGCCATTAACTTGAGACTCAGAGTCTATCTACCAGGACGGATGGAAGCTTTCACAATTAGACGAGACGACACAAATGCTTTATTAAAGTTTAATTTTGAACTCCCAATTAGCGAAACTGCATTACAAATCGATTGCAATTTCCTAGAAGGCACAGCAAGTTCTCTGCCTGCCTGCCACGTGCGAAAGGCTCCGGAGCTAGCTTGCCCAGCTCCCGACGGCTGAGAGGGGAAGGTTCAGAGCCGGTCTCCGAGTCCCAGGAAGTCCCTAAAATCCTCGCCAGCTCCTCCTTCCGCGGGGCGGGGGCGGGCGAGGGGAGGGCCCCCAAGTCCCCGGCGAGGAGGGGGAGCAGGAGGGGGAGCGGGCGGGGGGGGGGAGGGGCGGCGGCGGCGGGGTGGGGGCTGGGGGCCTCTAGCGTCCTGGCCTCTCGGAGGAGCCTCAGCTAGTCACGCAGAAGTTTCTCTTTCGCTTCTCGCGCCACACACCCAGGTTGGCTTTCTGCGCGCCGGCCAGCGGGGCGGAGAGCGGGGAGTGGAGGGGAGACAGGAGTCCCAGAAGGGCTGCCCGGCGCCCACACCCACCCCAGCTCCCCTCCCCCGACCCAGACAAAGCCCCCGCTCCTGGTCCAGGATACGTTACCTGCCCGGCGCTCCCGGCCCCTCGGTCACCGCGTCCCCCGCTGGGCGCGCCTTGGGCGGCTCCCGCTCCCCGGGACGCACAAAGCGGTCGCCCCCGGCCGGCTAAAGTCCCCTGTCTCGTCATGTTGGGGGGCCAGAAGGGAAAGCGGGGGAGATGGAAGCGGTTGGGGCGAGGGAAACTTACTGATTAAATTTTTTAAAAAAGAAAAGAAAAAAGCAGCTGGCGGGGCCCAGCCAGGGGCAGAAGAGGCCGGTTACCTTTCGGGGGGTCGCGCGCGAGAGGGAGGGGGGTCGGGGAGCGGCTGCCCGCCCCCCTCCCCCGGCCCCCAGCGGCGACGGCAGCTGCACACACAGAACCCCATTGTCGCCGGCGCCCGGCGCGCAGCCCCGCGGACTCGGCCCCGCGGCCAAGCGCGTCAGCGGCCCCGTCAGTCGGGCCGGGCTCCGTGACGCGCGCGCAGCCCGCGCTATAAATAACCCGCCGCCGGGCGGCTCGGGCTGCTTTCCAGTGACGCCGGGGCGAGGCGCGGGAGGAGGAGGGCGAAAGGAAACAATAAAACCGCCCGCCGCCCTCCTCCTCGGCCTCCCTCCGCCCTCCCAGGCCGCGCTCGGCCCTTCCCTCCGTACTCTCTTGTCCCCGCCCAGCCCGGAGCGGTGCGCGCGTGTGGGAAGGACTTAGCAGAGCGGGCGGGAAGACCCCGGGGTCGAGACCCATCCTTCTCCTCCCGGGCAAGAGGGGGCCTCCTTCCACACCCGGGAGGGGGCTGGCGCCGGGAACTTGTCAACGAGTTTAGTTAACAGGTCGCTGAGTTACTTAGTCCTCCATTGATTTACACAACTTATGCTTGCTCTGCTTTCTCACACGCCTTTCTAGTTCAGGTCCGGTGTGTTTATGGCAATAGGTCCTTTATTCAAAACAAAAACACTTCCCCGTTAAACGGCCTCATCTAGCGTATTTTAAAGTGTATGCCTATGTTTGCATCTCGCTGAGTTCTGCCTACATCCTATCTGGACAGTATGCTTGCTTTCCTAAACTCCAGCGGGATTATTTATATAGGTTTTTATGGGGCCAGGCCTGTGTTACTGTTTTCATTTGGGTAGTTGTATAAAGGGTGTGCAGTAGAATCAGCGTGGGCGTGAATTCCGTGACTCATGCACTTAGTCCTAGAGCCTTTTTACGTGTCGTTTTGGCCTTGAACGTACCATAGGCCTTGAACACAGAACATTTGAATTTTCCAAAGTCTAACGTCCTAGCTTTCATCAGTGCTGCCATTTAAAGGGGGCTTTCTCTCTAAGTAATTTTTTTTTTGGTCCTTGGGACTTTCTGCTCTAGCTACCATATTTAGGCCATTCTGTCACACATCCGGACACTCCTCCTTTCTATTATGGTGCCCATATACAACTGGAGGCAGTCTGTCTGTTCCAGGAACCACCAATTAATAGACTAGTAAGAATAGTAGTTCTTCTTGAGCGAAAGATCTCAGGTGTATGAACTCCACATTTTCTGGGATGCTTATATGTAATTTGCAGAAGCCAGCAAAGTTTTGAAGTGACCAGGCATGGATAGGGTGAATTAAAGGGGCTGAGAAAGTGGTTCTTGGCTCACAATCAGGACAAAATAATATAGTGAAGAATTGACTGAGCCGGTTTTCAGGTTTTAATTATATTGTCATTGTTTCTCTCTATGCCTTCTTGCAGAAATTAGTCTGTCTCTGCTTCAGATTCCTCATCTCCAAAATGAAGGACAAGTGGTTTCTAAGCACCTTTCAATACTAACATTGTAGGATTCTAAAGGACATAACTGGGTTCAGGTGTAAAGTTACTAATGTGTCTTATGGGAAAAAGGTAACCAAATATAAAATTATTTAATCTTCCTGTAGTTTATTATGTTGTTCATTTTTCAGGAAGAAAATACATTAGGAGTACTTCAGAAAAAGAATGAATTCATCTGTATCATTAAAACTATATTAAGAGGAAAAAATAGTTGTTACTATTTGCTTTGTTCAAATGACAGCAAACACAATTATGGTCTGATGATATCTTAGGCCCTTTCCAATGTCATATTCACCACGTGAGTGAATAAATTATGAGTAGCAAAATGTTCAAGGACCACTTTCTCCAATTTTGCCCCCAAACCTGGCTTGTATGGTTTTTAGGGGGAAGTTTTCAATTGAAAGACACTAAATTGTTTATCCATCAGCAGTATTTATAAGACAAGCAAAAGTTATCTCATTGACCACCAGAGAGTCAAAATTTACCTCATTCTCCTGTCTCCAGGTTGGTGAAGGCAGAAAACATAAAAGGGGAAGAAACAAGTTTAGAGCCAAAGCATTTGCTTCACATAGACACCACCAAAGTGTGATCACAACTAAAAGTTANCAAAAAAAACCCAGAACCATCATGCTGAAATTTGTAAAAATAAAAAGTAGGATACTGAAAATTTGGAAATCTTTTATTTGGATCTCCTTGACACCATAAAGCTTGTTACAATTTTTTAAAACAGTGAATGTTTTAGCATGTGGACATTTCTCTATATTTCCAAAGTTTCTGTGTACCTGAAGTTAAATCCTTTGAAAAGACTTCTCTAAGGTAACTGTATTGAAGAATTTATTAGAGGAACTATTGTGCAGTCTTGCCTTATTACTCAGTTAATCATGATCTATGTTTAGAGAGTTGTGCCAGCCAGGTTGAGGCTTCAAAGAAATGAGCACAAACATTTGCTGTTTCCCGTGCAGTAGTGCAGTAGAGATAGAAAATAGTTTTGGTGATAGAAAATTCATTTTGGACACTATCATTGAAGTCCTAGTATAAGCTAATGCAGTAACCTTTAAATGGATAAACAGAAGCCTAACAATAAAAAGCTATTGGGTTCTCAGTATTCCAAATGAAAAGAAAGGGGCAAGCAAGCTTATAGAGCTAGGAGCTTTCTGCATTTAAAAAGCCAAGAAATAAAGGTAGGTGGTGTTCTTAAAAAGAAGGTTGACTAAATTCAGCAAAATTAACAGAGCTTCCAACATCAGTTCAAAATATGAACATACGTATGTAACTGGCCTTTTTTTTTTTTTTTTTCCTGATTTCAATGATTTATCCCCAAGTTGTAGAGCCTTTGGTAACTCCTTGATGGGACTCATTATAGACAACTTTGTTCTTCCTGCATAAATTATAACATCAAACCTGGATTTGTTAACAGTGAATTTTTAAAAATTCTTAGTGGAGGCTTCAGGGTTGCAGGCCTGTGTGCTCTCTGATCCATTCCTGGCTCTTCTCTCCCCGTCTCTGGTCTGTAATCACAGAGGAGCTGATCCTGCAAGCAGTGAGCAGTGTTGCCTTGCCTTCCCTGAGGAGCAAGTGCCAGCTGGGTGTGACCAGTGGGAAGCAGGAAAGGAGAGAGCTGGAGGATGGGGCAAGTCAGAATATTCCTCCTCTGCCCCCTGCTCTGAAGAGTGAAAGTGTTAGTCGCTCAGTCCTGTCTGAATCTGTGACCCCATGGACTGTAGCCCGCCAGGATCCTCTGTCCATGAAATTCTCCAGGCAAGAATACTGGAGTGGGTAGCCATTCCCTTCTCCAGGGGATCTTCCTCACCCAGGGATCAAACTTGTCTCCTGCATTGCAGGCAGATTCTTTACTCTCTGAGCCACCAGGGAAGCCCAAATGCCCTGTGACCCTTGACCCTGGGCTCCAGTAACATTAGCTTTTCCCTTTATTCCTCTCACTTAAGAATTACAGTTGTTTCATTCTATTTTTTAGGATAGTTGTTTTATCCTAGAGTCACTGCCTTCTTTGGGGGCTCTCTTCTCCCTTTCATCACCTGTTTTTACAAATTCTTTGGGTTAAATTCTCCCTGTGTTGACTTCTTAGAGCAGTTTCTGTTTGGAGCCTGACTCTGTACATCCTGTTGAAAGGCATCAATGATATACATGAAAAACTCTGTTACTCCTTGATTTTCTTTTGCTGGAAATTCTTTAGTTTAAATGTGCTATTTAGAAGTGCTAATGAAGGATTCAGTCCTCAAAAAAGCAGAAACCCAACACATTTAAAAAAATCAATTTTCCGTGGTCACAATATTCAAAACTACAAACACAAAATATTATAAGTTTGTATTAGTCAGATCGGAGCTATACTTAGCTGAGACTGATATATAAATTCCATCCTAAAAAGAAAAGTAGCATGTAATACCTGTCAGGACAATTACATCACACATTCTATATAAGGGCTACTCATTTACCAGCTTATTTGCCAGTGGTCTGTCTGTTTGCTCATATCAGAGAGAGAAAGGAGGGGGAGAGAAGGAAAGGAAAAAACCCAGAACTTTCTGTATTACCAATTGGAAATGCCGTGTGAGTGAGTCCTTGGGATAATATTTTGAAATCTAAATGATGTTTACACTTTTTTTCCCTCCTTGTGTTTTCTGCTATTGCTTCTGTCCTCCCTTCCCACGTCTGTGAGCAGGTCTCCTGCTAAATGTTCACTGTCCAAGACATGGAAAAAAGAAAGGCAAAAGTAATATATGCATGCTTCTGGCTTTGTTTTATAGAATCCTAAATTCTCAGGGAAAAGGGTTTCCGGACAGGACTCAATATCCTGAAGGAGCTTCAGAGGGGGATAGTGTTTCCTTGAAAGTAGGAAGAGGCTGCCCACAGGCACATAGATGGGGAGAGAGGAACAGTGATCCATGTTTCCTGAGGAAGAGACAAGGAGCTGGGAGCTGATACTGGAGGAGTTGTGGAAGTACAGAATCCGGGGTAGACGGCAAACGAATCCCCTGAGGTCATGGTTCAAGTATCCAGATGTGTCGTGGCAGATGAATCATCACACAAATACCACCTGGACCTCATTCATCTGTACCAGTGCTTACCTTAGTTCTTCCTTACGTTGACCAATCAGCACCCCAAATAGCCACCAGGACAGTCAGGATATGTGTGAGAGCCACCAGGAATGATCTCTCCCTTTTTTTTGTTTTTAGGACTTAAGCATGAAAAGATGAAAACTGCCACCACAGGCAAAGGAGTTTGCTAGCAAATGCAGCTGACACAGAGAAAATGGGTCCAAGAGATGGAGGGGAATTGGGAGTTCAAGACATTTGAGCCTGGATCAAGCTGTTCCTGAAGCTCATGAGACCCATCAGATTCTCATGTGAGTAGATCGGTTCTCTTTTAGCTACAGTCAGTTGGGACTCAATTTTCTGCCATTTGAATTGAAAAGAGATATACTTGTCTCTAATACTTACCTTACCTACCTGTTCAAGGCCTTAGTGCTGGGGCATAGCACATACAGAACTTACCTGATGACTAATATTGATGAATACATATAAGATATAATTTATTATGTTACTGTTACTGGGCAGGGGGGGAGGGAGCATTTCGTATTGTCACATAGGGAGTGGCATGTCAAAATCAAATAAGAATGCCCATTTTGGGTTAAACCTCTTTCCCTGGGGGGTCAGAAGGTAAAGAATCTGCCTGCAATGCAGAAGACCTGGGTTCAGTCCCTGGGTGAAGAAGATCCCCTGGAGAAGGGAATGGCTACCCACTCCAGTATTCTTGCCTGGAAAATTCCATGGACAGAGGATCCTGGCGGGCTACAGGCCATGGGGTCGCAAAGAGTCATATATGACTGAGCAACTAACTCCAGGGAGGATGAGACTCTTCTTGTCTCAGAGACAGTAAACCCTTCTACCATCACAACAGAGAGTTTAGTGGTAAAAGCTGGAGACAGGAAACACAGCAACCTTTTTGGTCCCTGTGTATCTCCCACCTCTTTACTTGTTGATGCACCAGCCTCAGCTCCCTCTCCTAGTCAATTAAGACTGGTTCCCCAAGTTGCCTGTGTTGCTTCATGTATTAGTACCTTTGCACAAGCTCTTTCCTCAGGCTGGAATGAACTTCCCATACTGTCTATCCTTCAATACTTAGTTCAAGGGCTTTAGCTTCTGTGAAATCTTTCCTGACACCAACACTGCCATGCTCCCTACACCTCCAACCTATACACTCTAAAATTGATCAGTTACTTGTCATACTCTGTACATCTTTCTATTGTGACCCATATTCAATTTTTTGTTTATTTCTCTATCTCCCCTCTTAAACTGACCTCTATAAGGGCAAAAATTCTCTCTAATTTATCTTGAAATTTTTAGGACCTGGCCATTAGGCTATCTACAGTTATTTGTAAATAGTGGAAATCATAGACTACATTAAATAAATGAATGTGGAAGCAGAAATAGTCATCCATTTTTACAGTTGAGATCTTAGAGTCCACCTTATCCTTGTGAATGAAAACATTTACCATAGTGACAAGAATAGCAAAGTTATAAATTCTAAGAGACTGAAAGGTTAAATTTTATTGGAACCCATCACATGATTGCATCTTTATTCTTGAGCAAATTGTAACCATATATTCCAAAGTTTAAGAATTCTCACTTTTTAAACTTTGGCTAAGTTGCTTCTCTTTTTTAAATTTAAGACGTTCTTTTCCTTTAAGTATTTTATACCCCGTGCTTGTCTGTTCGCTCCCTAGAACTATGCAATATTTGTGATTACAGAATATTTTAGTATAGCCAAGAACCAAAACATTAGTTCAAATAGCAAATGAAATCAGATACTTAAAAGAGCCAAGTTAATTATACCTGGAAAAAGACCCTCCACTCACTTTGCACACACACACACACACACACAAACACATGACATTTATATCTATACTCTTTAATAATTCCATGATTTCAACATCTTTGTGTAGGAAGGGAGTTGCTGTCACTTGAAAAGGTTACTGTGATGCATCCTGTTTCTTACAGACCTATAGGAATCTGGGCATGGTTAGAAGCAGGAGGATGAACAAAGTGAGAATCAACATAACTGAATAAAAATGTAGCCAGTCTATCCATTTAAGGTAGACTCGGTGCAGATTATGTTATATTTAGGGAAATTTTTCTCTTCTTTATATGAATTGTCTTTGATAATTATTATTTGCCTTTGGGAGGTATGCTCGTGTAGAATTCAGTGGATGACCAAGAAGAATAAGGTGGCAAATCTTCACTGCTACCAGTGGGCACAAGTTGAAATGCAAACTCTACAAGGGGCTGTGCTGTTAGAGACCCTCTATAGTGTTATTTCATAATGCTTAACTCAGGCTTGGGAACGGTGTTGCTGCAAATATACAAATATAATAATATCCTGTGGGTTGCATTGATTGGAGAGAGGGCTGGATCTTTCATGAAATTAAACTACCATGAGTAGGGCAAACCATGATAAAGACGTGTAGAATAGAGACCTGAAGACAGGCACTCCCCCACACTCCCTGGTGGTTCGATGGGTAGATGGGTAAAGAATTCGCCTGCAAGGCAGGATACACAGGAGGTGTGGGTTTGATCCCTGAGTCAGGAAGATGGCAGCCCCCTCCAGTATTCTTGCTTGGAGAATCCCCTGGACAGAGGAGCCTGGTGGGCCATAGCCCAAAGGGTCACAAAGAGTCGGACACAACTAAGCACCAGCACCACATTTTCTAAGAAGAGAGTCAATTACCCTGGAACTTGAGGCTAGGAAGCAAGGCTAGGAATCGGGGTGTGCTCTTAAGGGGGTCTCTTTGTAAGTGGTAAGCTTTTTATTGCTCTTTTCCTTTAAACTGTTGGAAAGTTTTCTTTCATGAACAGTTTGTAATCTATCCTTTATGTTGTCATTTCTTTCATTTGTTTCTCACCTTCAGTCATTATTAACATCTGCACAGACTTGAGTGGTGGTGGGGGTTGGGGAGTATGGGACAATCAAAGCAAAGAAGAGCACCGCAAAATATAACCTTCTGCACATCGCACTTCCCTGAGGCCAGGGTTGTGATTCCAACATCTGGCAAGTAGCAGCCAAGTGAATGGTGGCCTCTGAAGGCAAAAGAGAACAAGGCCCTGAAAGAGCTGTAGATGCACAGACAACCGAGGAGAGGGGGGCAGAAACTTTCTTTGCCAAAGCTGTCGGAGCTTCTTGTCCATTATGACTTTAAACATTGTATCCCCTCATCCCCATTTCCTTCCCCTCAAAATCTATTTCCTCTCTCTTCCTTCACCTTTTATCATTTTTTACTTGAATTCTGACAACAGCTGCCTATATTGTTTCCTACCACTAGTGGCTTCCTTGCCCTAGTCAGGTTCTGCTCCACACACTGCATGGGACTGCCATGGTTGTCTTTCTAACGAGTGTTGGCCCTTGACCTTCCCCAGTGCTTGGCCAATACCTCCAGTAAAAAAAACTGTCCTTGGGATTTCTATTGAAAGTTGCACTTTTCTTTCAGAGACATAGATTTTTCAAGCTGGTAGCCATTTGTTCATTAAGAGATGCCATTAGAGTCATTTGTCATGCTAAGAGGATTTCATTTAAAGATTTACCCACTTAAAGATTACTCAGGTTTTCAGTATTGAGACAGATGGCAACACAGTAGAAGCTTGATGTGATGTCTTAGAAAATCTGTCAGTTTTGTTTGGGAAAGTAAATGTTCATATAGTCAAAGTCTTTTTTAGATAATTCCATAATCTCATCAAATAATTTTGATCCTGAAGTGAAGTGAAGTCGCTCAGTCGTACCCAACTCTTTTGCTAGTCCATGGACTGTAGCCCACCAGGCTAACTCAGTCCATGGGATTTTCCAGGCATGAATACTGGAGTGGGTTGCCGTTTCCTTCTCGAGGGGATCTTCCCAACCCAGGGATCGAACCCCGGTCTCCTGCATTGTAGGCAGGTGCTTTACCATCTGAGCTACCAGGGAAGCCCATTTTTGGTCCTAGATGAATCTATAGATGGTAATGTGGGCTGTGCTAGAGACCATGGTGGGGTCTTTGAATGCAGATTTTTAGTACAAATAGACCAATTTGGGGGCACAAGGATCTTTACCACTGCATCTTGTCTTTATCACATTACATCTGGGGCTTTTTTTATACACAAAGCTCACTTAATTTTCTGGAAGTTAGTTATTTATAGCATTTTCAAAAGTCTTCTATGGAGTTAAATTCATACCCACATTTCTAATATGCGTGATGGTTTATAAACACGTGGAGGAGGAAGGAGGAAACAAAATATGCTTCTCTATCCCAATAAGTCATACTATTGAAAAGGGACCCAGACATAGCTTTGAAATCCAGTCTGGAGCTCCCGTTATCCCTCTCTTTTCCTATCTTTGGTCTTTCTTTCTTTTTTTTTTTTTTTACTATGCTGGGTCTTTGTTGCAGTACTCTAACTTTGCATAGGCACTGGAGATCTCAGGCTAGGTAGTTGCCCCACAGCATGTGATATCTTAGTTCCCTGACCAGGGATCAAACCTGTGTCCCTGCTTCGGAAGGTGGATTCCTAACCACTGGGCCACCAGCGACGTCCCTTTGGTCTGTCTTGAATGGTCTATCTGTATCTTAGAGAAGTATATCACTGATGTCTTCATAAGTGACATTGGTATAAAATTTCTCCTATATTAACAATGTTGTTATAATACATTCAACTTTGGTATTTAGTTTATATGCCTTAAATCCAAAAGCTCTTCTTCACCCACTGCTGCCCACGTATGCTGACAACTCTTCTGATCCCAGCAGGAGTAACAGATTTCATTTCTTAAACATTGCAGAACTACAACCAGAGTGTTATTATTAGATGAAAGATCTCATACTGGCTTTGCAATAGGGAAAAAAGGAAGAATCGAGATGAAAAGAATCTTGGCTATTTAAAAATGCCCCACATTTTCAAAACCCATAATGCCATTTGGTTTTCAAAGGTAATATATTCAAATGGCTCAAAATTCAAAAGGTACAAAATTACATCCAGAGAATAATTTCTGTCATATCCCTGTTCCCCTGCCATGAAGTTCAGGCTAAACCAATGTTTTAAAATGTTTGTGTTTTCTCCCAGAGATAGTCTACATGTATACAACCAAATGTGAGTTTGCACATTTGTTTAAGTATGTTTCTTATCTGTTTTCTCTTAACAGCTTATTTGGGAGATAGTATTGTATCAGTACATAAAGGGCTTTTACGTTTTTCTGGTTGCATACTATTCCCTTGCAGGAAGATACATAATTTATTTTATCGGTACCTAGTAAATTTATATGTAAGCTGTTTCTAAAGTTTTGCTAACACAAAGAAATCCCTGTACCTACATCATTTGCTTTAAGGAT